ACTCTTATTTTCACGTGTTTTCCAATTATCGACAACGATCAATCATTTCTCGTTTGTCATGGAGTTGTACTGTCCGGATGAACCTTCTATCTACGTCTGTCTATTTTCTTTGCCGAACATCAGCATATTTAAAACACATGTAAAGCCTGAACGCGGAATTATATAAATTTGCCTTTGGTTCCAAATAGCAAACACAAACTATTATTCAATAAATGTTGATCAGCAGAACAGGCACCTAGGTTTATATCATTAACAAGTACCAAAATAAGTCAAAATAAGCTTTATGCAACATGAAGAGTATTCAGAGGGGCATGTTCACTTTACTTCTCCTATAAAAGCAAATCATACGATTGGATCTATTTAAATCAACACCCACATGGAAAATAGCTATGGTTTTAACCGGAAGAGCCTCCATGCTGCTCTATACCAAATATGTTTTAGTTCTAAGCGACAATGTTTGAACTACTGAAATCTTTATTGCGACCCTCAAGGGTGTGCCAATTCAACTAGTAAAAGACGAGAGCATTGGTTTTACAGATAAAGTTCGAAATAAATGCTGCTTAGCTTTGGTTATCAATAAGCAATTATGATATTAGAGACTAAAATATATCTCTAAGTTGTGGGTGCGGTATCACCGCACCAGTTCGACCGCTTACCACATGGAATGGAAAAGGGGAACAGTGGCAATAGATAATTTTGGTATCAAATAATGGTTCCTCAGTGAACATAGAACACTTCACGTCATTGTGGCCTGTCTATTTTTGGTTGATTGGCAATGGGCGAACAATATTCGAACAGTATGAAAACAAGGTTATTCCTGTGAGTAGTTGTTCGAGATGGAAAACTGTAAATTGCAGGTGGATACTCATTGATTAAACCCTGGAATATGCGGCCTTGTACAACAGCCAGTCGGCGAAATGAACGACGAACTGTTTATTTGCCAAACTCAGACAAAACCACTGGTTTGGGGATCGAAATCGATCAGACTGCAAAATGAAATCGTTGGGTTTGATTATCAGTTCAACCAGCAAATTAAGTTACTTGCAATAACAAAACTCATTCTGCATTCATTGATGATAACCACGTTCAACGGGAAGATGAGTGAATCAACAGTTTACAAACTTTATCACAGCCATCTCTAATGCAAAATGATCAATAACGATCGTGAAAAGAGTTTGATCAATCATCAGTGGATATTGAGAAAAAATAAGTTTAAACAAAGGAGCGCTATCATTGAATTGCACAACTGACGCAAAATTTTCGTTTTTAACACCGTTTTGAATAGTACCACGTGTTACTTGTACCTCTGCAATTTAATGCGGTGTTTGCTAATTATCCCCGTTTGCCGTTGATAAATTAATTCATATGGCTACGCTTGACTTGGAGAAACACCTGAGGTAGCTAAAAGAGAAGAAAAGAAAATCACTTATTGTAAATGAAATCAACTGAGTCCCCATTGAAAAAGGATCATGTAAAATGGTTAACACTTCCGAGAGTATGGCGCTCTCATAGAAATGAAAAATGCATGTTTTTAAACGCAGATCCAAAGGAATTTGTATAATCACGGTGTGTGAGCCTGACAACTCAAAGTTATTTGTCCAAGGGATTGGCAACAGAGTGTATAACATAAGCATTAGCACCAAGAGCTTATTTTTTATTGGCCGAGTGCCGACCGAACTGAATAAAAAGAACATGTTAAATAAACGTGTATTTTTTAACATATTAGGTTGCTGTGTGTAATTTAGTGAAACTCGTTAGAGAATTGGTTTGATAGAGGTATGTTATAGCAATTGGAGGCCCTCCCAAGGAACATCCACGTTCAGCTACACGTTAGTTTATGAAATTAACCCACGTGGTTGGGCATCCACAAAGGTGGTGACGCCAACCAGAACAGAGGATTAAACCGGTTAGATCTTTGATTAGTATTATCTCGGGCCACCGCAGTATTTCAATTAACGCGGTCTAATTCACCTACAAAACCACTGCATCCTTCGTAGCTGGAGAAAACCATCGCTGGTGTTATCTATCCGTATCAATACTTCATACCTTGATTGGTCATTCATGCGTAACATGGAGCCCAAATACCCGAAAGATGATACGTTCTCTTTTGGCTGATTGTTGTGGAAAACCATTGGTCTGACTGCTCTAAGCCAGCTGAGAATGTTGTATTGGTTTCTAGCCCAGTGGACGATTCAGTCGAGAACTGACTGTAATGTAGAAGATGAGTGACCTAGGATCAAGATGTCGTCCGCAAATTGCAGGTAAAATAATTTTCGTGTTTCAGTTTGACACCAAGGTCGTCAACCAGTACCCGCCTGATTGACCGGTGGACAGTGTGGTTAAACAACACCTATGAAAGAAGGCAATCTCGCTTGATCAGGAGCTAAGTTTAACGATGTTTTCTGCACACATGTGAAAGCGATTGATGAATACAACATTATGATGATAAGCTCTTCAACGTACGGCAAATTATCATTACTTTATAAAAATATGTGCAAGAATTATTTTATTCTCCACGTTAAAGAACCAACAGAATGAGGTAAGAGAATAACTTCAGAATCATTTCGCGCCATACAGCCGTTTTGTTTTCGCTGTTCCTGTTTTACATGGAATACACTTGAATAAAACTAAAGCAAATTTTTAGTTTTTAACCTCGTATTGTCCTCATTTTCAATTCACTTTATCTTCTTGTAGTTTACAATCAAAGTCAATGAATGATTCCATTCGATTGAAGTAAGAAAGAATAAAAACAAAAATTTTGATGTATGATGGTTTGTGCTAACTGTTTTGAGTATGCACCACTCTTGGGGGACGTGTAAAACCATGAAAATCGGAGGCTCGAGAAAGACTACACAAATCGCTGATCAGCATAAATGGAATTCCGTGGAAAAAGAGAAACTGCTCTGTTTGCCATAGCCTCTGGTAAGAATCGTTAGTAAATTGACCACTAGATGAGAACAATTGAGGCTACAAAAGTTCGCAAATGAAAATCGGGAATGCGGTTGTTTACAGTCATCTGGCTGGATTAATCCCTTTCTCGGTTTCCAAAGAGTCTTTTTTGTGATTAGTTTTTTTACAAACAACCTCATCGATAAATACTGACGAACACGAAATGTAAAACCTGGTTCTGTTGTTTTCACAGACCGGGTGTTTTGATCAACACAATCGGTTCCACCAGACGCTGCGTGCGTTCGCGTTGCGCGTGATAGGAAGATTTTGTTTTGTACGGAAAACACATCGGATGAAATTGAGCTGAACCACATATTTTCGTACTCTATTTGATAACAACTAAAAACGAACCGATCGAAACACAACGAGTATGTATTTTTGACCAGTAAGCTTATAGTGTACTTATTTTACACGCCTTCAACTCATATACCAACAATATTTTTGATTTAATTACCAGTTTTCTGGCAGCATTATCGTGTTCTCAACAGTGTTACCGGGTATGAGACGAGTGCAATTGGAATAGCACTTATTTTGTGAGAAAAATGACTGCGTGACAAAAAGGCATCGATCGATAAGGCATCATATGAAAGTTGCACCCGAGAGCAAATAAAATAATCAATCAGGTAAATTGCATGTTTGACCAATAGATTATTGCAACATATATCTGTCTGACACCTATGAACGTTGATTTCCGTTGAAAGGGGATTCATTCGGCTGATAAGATTCCAATAAAAAGCTTTACTGTGGAAATGGATGAGACGTTAATGAGCCACTAATACAGAAAGACCAGAACCGTTTTAGGCAGTTTGTATCACACCAACCTTGCATCGTAACATATAAGCATATAAATGTTCCCCTCAGCAAAACGCTACCAATTTTAAAACACTAAACGTTCTAGAAGAGCGCAATAAATGTGAAACCCTTCAGTGGAAAACAGTGCACGCTAAAATCTAGTGAAAAAGTAATGTTTTTCCGCCGGTTCATTCAGTCCGACTAATCAAAAAGAATGCATTTTGTTCCGTATATGTGGTTACAGTAACAGCCGAACGGGTTCGGTGTGAGTGCCTCCATTTCGATATTTTCGGTCCATTCCAGTAGGTATTTGTCATAGACAATTTCATTCAATTGTCAGGCCAGGATTTAGGCAATTACCGTCGGCTGTATATCATAGTACAGAACAATCCTTCATCCCCTGAACTCTTGTGGACCGAGACTCCTTGGGCTAAAATTCACTTAGTAGACCTCGAAAGGGCTGCAATATATTGGATTCTGCCTCTCATCTCAAACAATATTGTTTGAAAATATTCACATAAAACGTCAGTTGTTTTTGTTCCCCACACCTCGTTAGCCATGAGGAAGTCAAGATTCGATTCTTTGATCATGTCTACAAATCAAACGTTCTCAATTCTGTCGATCAAACAAATTGCCGTATTCTGTTTTTTCCATTCTCGCGCAATGCCAATGCACGAATGAAACTTTTTCAGCAAAATGATTATGTAGGAATATGTTGCCTAGCAACTACCAAACGAACTTTCAAAGTGGTGGGACAACTGAAACAATAACATGAACGCTCTTGAATGTGCTCCCATCCTCATCCGGTGTTGCAGCTTTTGTGTAAATCGTAATTTTTACCCATTTCGCGAACTATCAATAGACGAAGAGTTATGACGTACAGCTTTGTGCGCAGCCCGCTGCTGTCATAAAAGTTACTTTCTCCTTTTTACCACAGTTTGCTCACGGCATTTAAAAACAGAGCTGGAAAATAAAAAACTCAAATTGGTAATTACTTAGTATATTTTGTGATAAAAATAATCTTGAAGTTCGAATTGTGTTGTACAGATCAGCAGCACGATGGAGCTTGGCGAACGTGGAAGCTTCGAAGGTTAATATACAGGTTGGTGGAAGAGATATGTAATCCTTGATGTGTGATGCAAAGTGATCGATACAAATGCAGGTCTACAACCTCTTCGTGAAGTTGATGAGGGACTATGGTTGTTGATATTATCAGTAAATGGAAGTAAAATTTGAAGTCTATTCAAATACATTCCCAGCTATGATTTTGAGTTCTCTCCTTTCGTCGAGTTCGACGTTGGTGACTTAGATTTCTTTCGTTTCAAAAATTCGGAAAGTTTGGATTTTTTCTCTTTTGCGTTTTCTCCCGGCACAACAGGTGAGGTGTTTAGCTGTCGTGGAAGATCCGGTGATTCAAGCGAACCGTCCGAGGTGGCCGCAGTCACGCGTGAGGAGGATTCTGGTAATGTGGTGTATCGCCGTCGAAAAAATCGGGAGAACCTGGAGCGATTTTTCACCTCGCCCACCAATGTCATGTTGCGTCGTGTCTCCATACGAAGCAATTCTTGAAACACTTCTTTCACGTTGGAATTCGCTTTAGCTGAAGTTTCCATGAATCCACATTTCCATTTCTGAGCCAATGCTTTTCCGTGCGCCGTACTCACCTCACGTGACTCCGCTTCATCTGTCTTATTACCCACG